ATGTCCAATCTAGGGACTAAGCCCTAAGGAGAGGACACGTCTGAACTCCAGTCACAGCAAAAGAATTCATAAGAGTGCCATCGTAAAAAAAAAAAAAAAAAAAAAGAGTAAGTAAAAGAAAAGTTTTTGTTCAAGAATTTGGTAGCTAAAAAGACTTAAAAATAGACATCAACTCAAACTCCAGGGAAAAACTGAAGATTTATCAAAATATTAAACAGACAATTCAAAAAATAACTGATGATGCTAAGGAAATTAACTTGAAAAAAATAATGTAAAATATATCAAAACCAGAACAAAACCCAAAATCAAATCCACCGCCATCAAGTTGATTCCGACTCAAGTAACTCCATAGGACAGAGTACAACTGCTCCATAGGGTTTCTGAGACTTATCTTTATGGGAGCAAAGTGACTGGTGGGTTTGAACCACTGACCTTGTGGTTAGCAGCCCAATGCTTAAGCCACTGTACCACCAGGGATCCTAACACCAGAAGAGAAAACACACGCAAAAACATGGTAGGAAAAATCCATAGTAAAAAATGCATGCTATTCACTACTTATATAATAATGTTTCTCATATGCACCTCCTCCCTCAACATTTACTTGCTGAGGGTTTACATGTACCAACACTGTTCATTCTAGGGTTTTATAAGTATTGATTGCATTAAGAATGAAATCTCACCTCTAGATCAGAGATTTGTACAGTTCTCATGTCCAACTGTAATATAGTACATGGTTCAGAGAGGCAGTCTTCTGGATTCAAAAGGTGATTATACTTGGGCTTTGAAAAAAATTCCTTAATTGCTAAAGATCTGAGAAAAAGATCAAAGTCATCGTCAAAGTCATTACAAACATCGTTGGTTTGGAACACCCATGTACAACCACTGTGGTAGCAGGAATTCTAAATCACTTCAGTGAGTGCGACAGTGAGGGCCAGCTCTCTCTATTCATTCCCTGACAGAGTCCAGGGGCATCATGCAGCCTCTAGAGTCAGGCTACTTCCCTTCAGGGATCTAAACACAAGGAAACCAGCAGTCAAATATATAAGCCAGGATACTAAATGAAAAGGATAAGATAGATAGAACTCACAACTATGCTTTCAGTAGCAAGAAGAAAATATTTTATATTTGATGCCAAGTGGGTAAATAAAAGCTTTGGACTTTATAACTAATATATATATAGTTGGAGCTCTGGTAGCATAGTGGTTACGAATCGGGCTGCGAACCTTAAGGTCAGCAGTTCGAAACTACCAGCCGCTCTGCGGGAGAAAGATGAGGCTTTCTACTCCCGTAAAGATTTACACCCTTGGAAACCCTGTACAGGGTTGCTATGGGTCGGAATCGACTCAACGGCACTTCACAATCACAAAAATATATATATTAGTTATATTTATAACTTATTTATAAGCCAGGAGAGAGGGGAAAGAAACCCACCTTAATTTTAGAATCTAAGAGGGTAAATCAAACAGTATTGCTACTAGAGTTTCACTTCATACAAGCACAGGTTCATTCCATACAAAACATCTTTAAACATGTGGTTGGCTGCAGACAAATTCTCAGTAATAACCTTGTTTTAGTCTCATTGTTGTTGTTGTTAAGTGCCATCAAGTTGGTTCCAACCCATAGCAACCCTGTATAAGGGTTTCCGAGAAGCAGCTGGTGAACTTGAACTGCTGACCTGGCAGTTCAAAGTGACTTTGCAGTCCAGCACATCAACCCAGAGCGCCACACCAGGACTCCTTTAGTCTCATTGGTGGTGGTGGTGGTTATGTGCCGTGGAATTAGTTTCTGACTCATAGCGACCCTGTACAGGGTTTCCAAGGCTGTAAATCTTTATGGGAGCAGAAAGCCTCACCTTTCTACCACGGAACACTGTTGTTGTTGTTGTTGTTGTTAAGTGCCATGGAGTCGATTCCAACCCATAGCGACCCTGTACAGGGTTTCCGAGGAGCAGCTGGTGAGCTTGAACCACTGACCTTACAACTCAAATGGCTTTGCAGTCTGGCACATTAACCCATAGCGCCACATCAGGACTCCCACAGAACATTTGGGGGTCTTAAAAAAAGGTTCGATTAAAACAACAGTTTCTGAGGGGACTTACTGGGCCAGGTAAATTCAAGGCAGGTAGGTCATCTTAGAAGGTAATGTAACTGTTTTTTGAGATTCCATAGAGGTAATTTTGATAGATTAGGGGTCTTAATAGGATGAAGCTTTTTAAGAAAGAAAAAAAAAACAACACTGAAAACTGCACTAGTGTGAAAAAGGCCAGGGAATCTGCACCAAGAAATTTTTTTCCATCGTGGCAATGCACCTCGGAGGGTGGCAAAGGCTGTCTTGTCAGAATCTCACTGGGAAACCTTACCCCATAAACTCTTCACAGCCTTGATCTTGCTCCTCCATACTTTTTTTTTGTTCCCCAAACTCAAAGAACAAACATTTGAAAGGAATTTAATTTGAGTCCTACGAGGATACCCAAACTGTCATTTTGACATGATGTAAATCAAAGAGTGGAGAATTCTTTGGAAAAGGATTAGGGAGATGGAAACACAACCTTCAGAAGTGTACTATATCTAGGAGGAGGACAAGGCAAGAATTAACAACTTCACATTTGCATATTTTTGTTTAATAAAGATTTCTATGGTTTTGTAGTAAGAGTTTTTGACATCTTGTACTTTACTTCAAACTACCTTTAGTGAATCTTACACTACACAGCAAATAACAAGGATATTCCTGTCCTAGGTTACTCAAGAATAAATGTAACGAATCAAGTCAGTTCTGACTCATAGCGACTCTGAAAGAAAAAAGAAGAAAAGTAAAAATGTAAAGGACTAAAGTCATTCACTTGAACTACAGAAAATCCCTACAGCCTTCTACACCACTGCCCATAGGCTCTCCTAATTCACTCCCACTGTGAGCGTGACAGAAATACCAACCATATTCCACAAACTGGGCCAGCCATCAACTTCAGAAATAGCATATAAAAGTAAATATTTTAATAAAGACTTCTTTATACAAGGGCACTTCAAAAAGCTGTGGAAAATTCAAATGAAAAGATACTGGAATTCTTCCACAAACTTTTTGAAATCCTCTTGTGTGTATTTATGGTGGAATGATAGCTAGTCTAATGATTTGTAACAGATTTATAAGAAATTTAAATAAAGTATAAAGAAAAAACTTAAAATCCCACACAACCTGTATTTTTCTTAATCTTGAAAAATCTTTAGCATTTCATGATGGTTAAGAATGTGTGTCAATTTAGTTATGCCATGACTGCATGGTTTGGCAGGCATTATGCGTGATCCTCCATTCTGTGATCTGATGTGAACAGTCATCAGTTGAAAGGGAAAGTTCTATACATCTAAAATATTCATATATGGATGTTCTGGCAAAGCACACTGTCTCCACCCTGCATTTTCAACTTGTCATCATCTGACCTCCAGTTGTTGGGGTGTGAGCTAGCAGCCTGCCGTCTCAACTGCTAATCAGGGATTTGTCAGCTGCTGCAGCCACGTAAGTCAAGAAAAGCCTCCAACCGGATACATGACTCACGGATTTGCCACTTGCCAGCCTCCACAACTTCATGAGCCATTTCCTTGAAATAAATCTCTTTATTTATATATTTTATATATTCATTTCACTGGTTTTGCTTCTCTGGAGAACCCAGCCGAAAACAGTCCATATGTTGAATAGGTTTCAGTGGAACTTCCAGACTAAGACAGACCTAGGGAGAAAGGACTTGGCTATGTACTTCTGAAAATTAATCAATAAAAACCCTATGGATCACAACAGAACACTGATACAGTGCTGGAAGATGAGTCCCAAGATTGGAAGGCATTCAAAATACTGAGTGGCCACAACAATGGGCTTGAGCAGACCAATGATGGGCTGTGCCCAGGCAATGTTTTCTTGTGTTGTACGTAGGGTCACCATGAATTAGAGCCAATTCAGCAGCAACTGACAACAATAGCAACAAAGTTTCTTAAGCGGACTGTAGCAGTTTACTAAAGGCAGTGTGCAAGTACGTTTGTTTGCTATACAAATATATTAAAAAGAGAGATTTCTTTGAAGGAAATGGCTCTCATAGTTGTGGAGGCTGGCAAGTCTCAAATCCATGGATCAGACATAAGACCAGAAGTTTCTCCTGACTCATGTGGTAGCAGAGACTGACAAATCCAAAACTGACATGTCAGACAGCACAGAGGTCAGATGACGACAAGTCTAATGAAGGATGGAGACAGGGTGAGCTTTTCCAGAACATCCATACTCATTGGTTTCAGCCGCACCCCAAGAAAATCCCTTTTCAACTGATTGGCTGCTTTTATCAGACCACAAAATGGATGATTATTACATAAAATTTGTCATGACAGTCAAAGTCATGGTCTGGTTAAGTTCACAAATAACTTTATTCAATACATATTTTGATATATTTACTCATTTATTTATCCACATTTATTGTTGTCGTTAGGTGCCGTCAAGTCTCTTTTGACATATAGCGACCCTATGCACCACAGAAGGAAACACTGCCAGGTCCTGCAACTTCTTCATGATCATTGTTACGCTTGAGCCAATTGCTGCTGCCACTGTGCCAATCCATCTTGCTGGGATTCTTCCTATTTTTTGCTAACCCTCCACTTTACCAAGCATGCATGCTGTTCTTCTTCAGGGGAAAGTGTCCCTACCCTGGCTTCTAAGGAACATTTTGGCTGTATGTCTTCCAATACAGATTTGTTTGTTCTTCTGGCAGTCAATGGTACTTTTAACATTCTTCTCCAACACCACAGCTCAAATGTATCAATTCTTCTATAGTCTTCCTTATTCACTGTCCAACTTTCACATGCATATGAGGCTACTACTGAAGATACCATAGCTTGGGTCAGGCATACCTTAGTCCTCAAACTGACACCTTTGTTCTTGAACACTTTAAAGAGGTCCTGTGCAGTAGATTTGCCTAATGCAATCTGTCATTTGATTTCTTGACTCCTGTTTCCTGTACTGATAGTAAATCCAAGCAAAATGAGTCTCAGATAACTTCAATCTTTTCTCCATATAACATGATGCTATATGATACAGAGGTGAGGATTTTGTTTTCTTTGCATTAAGGTATAACCCATACTGAAGGCTGTGGTCTATGATCTTCATCAGTAAGTATTTTAAGTCCTCTTAACTTTCAGAAAGCAAGGTTGTATCATCTGCATATCACAGGTTATTAATAGTCCTCCTCCAATCCTGATGCTACCTTCTTCTTCATGTAATCCAGTTTTTCTAATTATTTGCTCAGCATGCATACTGAATAAGCATGGTGAGAGGATGCAACCTTGGCACATATATTTCCTGATTTTAAACCATTCAGTGTTTCCTTATTCTGTTTGAATGACTATCTTTTGGTCTATATACAGGTTCTTCGTGAGCACAATTAGTGTTCTAGAATGCCTATTCTTCATAATGTTACCTGTAGCTTGTTATGATTCACACAGTTGAAAGCCTTTCTAAAGCACAGGTAAACATCTTTCTGGTATTCTCTATTTTCAGCAAAAATTCAACAGATGTCAGCAATGATATCCCTTGTTTCATATCCTCATCTGAATCCAGCTTGAACCTCTGGTAGTTTAAAAATTAATCTCTAATTTAAGAGTGCTACTTGATGACAACACATCTTAGAAATCAATTAGAAAAAGATAAATATACAAATGAAGCTACAAGCATGTGACAGGAACAGGCAAGTCACAAATAAATCCATAATATTATATTTATCCAATAATCAACCCATAATTTTATAATTTTTAAATTAATTTAAAAATTAATTTTTAAAAATTAATTTCTGCTGATTTCACACCGTTTTTATGAAGTCCTGTTTTTCTTCTGCTTCAGATTTCCTCTCAACCTAAGATCTGGTACAGAGGTGTCCATGTATTTTTACAGTTGCTGTTGTAGTTGCTGCTTTAACACAAACTCTTAAATCCATGTAGAAAATAATTTTTCCAAAGAGTTAATTAACTCTTCTGGATAATTTGCTGGTTCATCCCTTACTCCCTCCTGTCGTGTAATACCACCTTTTCATCAACTAACAAATTCTCTTTATTCTGTGCCTTTAATCGTGTTCGACCCATCTGTCCATCTTGTCAGAGTAACAGTGTTTTAATGACTGTAGTTTTTACAAGAGATTTTAATACCTAGTTGTATAAGTTGTTGTTGTTAAGTGCTATTGAGTCGATTCTGACCCATAGCGACCCTGTATAGGGTTTCCACGGAGTGGCTGGTAAGCTTGAACTGCCAACCTTGCAGTTCAAACGACTCTGCAGTCTGACGCATTAGCCCGGTTGTATAAGTACCTCCTCGTTATTCTTATTTCCAGAAATTTCTCAGCCATGCTCACTTATATTTTTGTTTCCAGATGAATGACAGAATCACGTTGTAGGGTACTTTGCCCTCTATTCACTTTTAGTTAAGATTGCAACAAGTAATGGGGGATAATTTCATCTTGTTGTATTACTGTTTTCTCTTTTCTTTTTCACTGAAACCATTAAAGGCCAGAGATTCAACCTTGCCACTAACTCCATCAAGAGACCACACGTGCCTCACAGTGTTAACTGAGAGTTTTTCTTCTTTCTGGAAAGTGGGGCACTTCCCTGATTCCCAGGCTGATGGTGGGCTTGTCCTACCCAATTTCCATGACTATCTCAGAAGGACAACATGTGGAATATGAAGGCCTTTATCAGGAAGTCTTTTCATTAGTAAAAATCTGAAGCACAACTCTATAAAAGGTGTCCACATGCTAAAAACCAGAAAATCAACTATCTTTGAGCATTGTTTTGTAAAATGCCAGGAATGACATTCTTATTCTCATTAAAACTGTACAGCCCTTAGTGGGAGCACATATTTGTGTTGTTTAATGACCCACACATTTTCTAAAGGCCTAGTTCATAAATACAACCTATTTTTCATAATATATCTGAGAACTTTGTTATTGTTAGATGCTGTGAAGTCAACTCCAACTCATAGCAAGCAACATCATACACAACACAACGAAGCATCCTGGTTCTGTACCATCCTCACAATTTTTGTTGTTAAGTGCTGTCAAGTCAGTTCCGACCCACTGCAACCCTGCGTAGGGTTTCCGAGGAGCAGCTGGTGAGCGTGAACCTCTGACCTTGTGGTTCAAACCAACTTTGCAGTTCAATGCATTAACCCACAGCGCCATACCAGTGCTCCAATCACAACTGTTTTTAGAGACAACAAACATTCTACCTATATTCTAAAAGACATTTCAACTCCCATCATGTCTGTTAGTAGAGCAAAGGCATTAAAGACGAATGTGAAAACTTCTGAAACACATGGATTAGCCTCTACAATGAAGTATAGCTATTCTGTCAGAGATGTCTGCTATCTTCACAGTTGCTTCCCAACTTTCTCACCCCTCACCGTATCTTTCTGGATTAAAAAGGGATGGTAAGAGCGTGGGGATCCCTGGACTCCCTCAGAAATAATAATCTCTCACCCATCAGGAGAAGAGCAAGAGGCAAAAGAAGAGAATACGGGCAGAGCAGGAAAATCTCAGCAAAACTCTAGTCATTCTGGGTTACTAAGTGCACAAGGAACTATTTTCCTAAACGGAAAACGATATTTTCCACAGAGGAAAACAAGACTGACTACCTGTGAGAAAAGGGCACAACAGCCAGACCCACCCCCACAGACCCTACCTGCACAGCACTTACATCTTCCTTTTAGTAGTCAGGGATTTAGAACCCACTCACCTGCAGGACAGGCCTAGACACCAAGTCCTGCTGGCCCAGGAATGTTCTAGAAAGCTGTGAAATGCCATTTGTTCCTGACTCACTCATGGGACTTACTTCAGTGCGCTCAGGTTGAACTCGTAGGCATTGTCCCAGAAGAGGACCTTGCTGTGGTAGTCCCTGTCAGCACTGCAGGGCACGAGGTGCAGCGCAGCTGTGGTCGGCCAGATGACCCCGTCCTCCTTCAGCCACGTGTCCCGAGCATACAGGATGGACTCGATCATGAACTCAAACTGAATGAGGAGGGAGGAGACACAGAAAATTCCACAGCTGAGGCTGTGAGTCTGCATGAGAACTTTCTTTGCTCAGTTCTGTCTGAAGGCTGAAGGCTCTCACAAGTTTCAGTGCAAAAGCACTTCAGTCAGGTGAGTGCTGGCCAGAACCACACAATAAAGCACTACTGTATGTAAAGAATCTATTTTACACCCACACATTAATGCCATCAGAATCAAAACTGGACTACCCTAATGGTCAGGGGAAATCTGCATGCCCCCCACCTCAGCCACTTAGGAGCCGGTCACTACTGTACTTTGAAAGAGCCCATGTGTTTTAGCTGTTACAGGGATTTAACTAATAAATGGAACATTTTGGTTTAGGTACTCTCAAAATTTTACACCTTTTAAATTGACTGAAATTTTCTCCTTAACACTATGAGCTGTCAGACCAGAAGGAACAGGGATGCTCCGTGGTATTTGGTTAGAAGGGGTCTAAAAAGCCACAGGAAAAGGAGTGAGGACCCACCCCCTCCCCACCCCCACATCCACTCATCCAGTCAGCCTGTCTGCAAGAAATAATGAAATTTTAGAGGATTACCATCAACTTTACATTCATCTGTACATTATCCCATCCCCTAGTTTTAAATGCAAATGTAAGAACATTTGTATGTAGAATCATGGTCATTGGGTCCAACACCTTGATCTTGGACTTGCAGCCTCCAGAAGTATGAAAGAGTAAGCTTCTATTCTTATAAACCACTCAGTCTGTGGCATTTTGTTACAACAGCCACAGGACACAAACACAGGGTGGTCTCTACTATGGTACCATCCCCTACCTTGTCCTCACACTCATCTGCCAGGACAACCATGCCCACCAGTGTGCTCCCTTAGTGCCCTCACATCCTCGGTCCTGCTCCCCTGCAACATTCCCAGCTCCAGATGAATCTGACTCTGTGGTCTCACCAGTTCAGAAACACAATACAGCTAGCTGCTCTGTGAACCTGGGATGGCTGGCACTCCCTACTTCATGGTCCACTCGCCCTTCCACCCAACCATGCTCCACTAAATGTCGCACCCTGCATGCTCAGGCACAGTCCTGTCCCCAAAGCCCAGGACCCCAGAAACACTACTGAAAGGACAATGGTGTTCACAGCAAAGGCTAAAGCCTCCTTGGTAGATGATGGTGTTTTCGATTTAATTATGCACTCCCAAAATCTGTGTTGCAAATCCTAATCCCTATACCTGTGAATGGAGTCCTGGTGTGGTGCTGTGGGCTAATGCGCTGGACTACAAAGTTTGTTTGAACAGCAAGGTCAGTAATTCAAGTTTACCAGCCTCTCCTTGGAAACCCTACACAGGATTGCTGTGACTCAACCTAGGGGTAGGAGCTGACTCAAGAGCACTTAACAACATACCTGCGGCTGTAATCTCATTTGGGAACAGGGTTTTCTTTGTTATGCTAATGGGGCCATTCAGTATGTGCTAAATTTAACCGGATTTTAAAGTATAAAAAGAGCAGATTAGGCATAGGAACAATTAAACACATAGATGCTACACAGAAAACACCAAGAAACATGATGGTGAAGCTGAGATAGGATTCTCCCCGAGGAGACAGAATGAGCCTTCACCTTGAGCCAGTGCACTGAAGCGTTTGACGCCTAACCTCCTTAACTCTAAGAAAATGAATTCCTGTTATTTAAAGCCTGCTAATTGTGGTATTTCTATTACAACAGCACTAGAAGACTAAGACAGATGGTGTGGCTCTCTCCCTGTTAATGTTCTCATGAAAGCTGTTGTTGTTGAGTTGCTTCCAACTCAGCTGAACTGCTTATCTCAAGGTCTGCAGTTCAAAACTACCAGCTGCTCTGCAGGAGAAGTCGAGGCTTTCTGCTCCTGTAATGATTCACAGCCACAGAAACTCGCTGAGTCAGAACCGACTCCACGGCACACCACCACCACCACAGCAACCCTGTGTAAGGTTTTCCAAGGAGAAGCTGATAGGTTTGAACTATTGAACTTGTGGTTCACAGTCCAGGGTTGATCCTACAGCGACACACCAGGAGTCATGAGAAACCTTGTTGTTGCTGTTGTTGTTAAGTGCTGTCGAGTAGGTTCCGACCCATAGCGACCCTGTATAGGGTTTCCAAGGAGTGGCTGATGAACTTGAACCACTGACCTCACAGTTCAAACCGACCTTGCAGTCTAGTGCATTAGCCCACAATGCCACACCAGGATTCCATGAGAACCTAGAGGTTATTAAACCAACTGCATTTTAGGTGTGAGCCTGCTCACACTTTTATTTTCTGATAATGTAATTTCAGCAGGGATAAAGCCCCAACATCCTTTGCCATCACTTCCCTCCAGCTTTACAATCCAAACAAACTAAGGTAGCATTCAATAGCGATTTCTTAGCGCTTAAATGGGTTCTCTTTCTGGAAGCATCTGTCATATTCTGCTCAACCTCACCCAGTTATTATTTATAATGTTCTGGGTTTTTACAGTGAAGACTAAATTTCAGATTGGGATGGTTCACTATTAAAATGTCATGTCCCAAGAAATGGGCCAAGTTCAACCATGTTCCATAAACTCCCATTGACCTGGAGATGAGAGAGAGAAGAGGAAGAGCTGGTTGGTCCAAAGTGTGGTGAGACCTGGGGACACCTGAGCCCATGGACAAGGACTTAGCCACAGAGGGCTAGAGCTGAGAGTGAAGCATCCAGCTGATATGAAGTGCGGGGAGACGCACAAGAACACCCAAACTTGCAGATAGTATCCATTTGACCTAGCCTCGATGGTTTGATAATCAGAACTTAAGTAGAGGAAGATAAAAACAAAAATAAACAAACAAAAAAGATTTTTGATAAAGGAAATGAGGGAAAATTGCTACAATTTGATGAACTTGACCTATACTCATGGAGGCAGTAACTCTAAATACCAACAGAGAAGGAAGGAGTCTTCACATCAAGTATCAATGCTATCCCCTCTGTACACAGGGTAGATAGGGTTGGGCAACTTAGACATTGGCTACCTAAAATGAGGGGGCAATAAAGGCATAAAGTGACTGGCTTACAAATTTTCAAGGGGAAGTTTAGTTTAAGAGTGAGGGAGGGGTCCCCACTGAATAGTTTTCATCTTGTCTAGATGGGTCTGGTGAAAAGAGATGGGGCTAAAACTTATGATTCAACAGTGAGTAACTGTTATGACTAACTGCAACTGTCACAACTGTACAGGTAGAAGTTTGTAACCAAAACGGGGGTGTAGTTAACCTTACAGTCCAGAAACAGAGGACACTAGGGAGAAGAGCACAAGTGGAATGCGAGACTTTATCCAGACAGAGACACCAGAGATGGAGGCAGAGATGGGGACATGGAGAGAGGGAACAGCAAAGGACTGAAGATTCATGGGAAGAGAGGGACTAAGAACTGGTGACCAGGAAGCAGACTTGCAGAATGTGCCCTTTGGTGGTTTAAATTATTATATATGCCTGAGTATTTTAAGAAAAAGCGACTAGAGAGAAATACTGTTAACTGATGGTACATGGAGGGGATTATAATCATTGTAATGAAACAAGGTGTATGATTTTTTTTAATGTAAAACTGATGATCTGCCCTGTAAACTTTTACTCAATTCACAATAAAAACCCAAAAACAAAACAAAACAAAATCTCATGACCCAGAATGCTAAACCCAGAATTTTTTATTTGATTGTGATTGTGAAGTGCCGTCGAGTCGATTCCGACCCATAGTGACCCTGTACAGGGTTTCCAAGGGTGTAAATCTTTACGGGAGTAGAAAGCCTCATCTTTCTCCCGCGGAGCGGCTGGTAGTTTCGAACTGCTGACCTTAAGGTTCGCAGCCCGATTCGTAACCACTACGCTACCAGAGCTCCTAATAAGCATCCAAAAAAAAGGGCTGGCTGACAGCATCTTCCAAGGCACCAGAGCCATCTGCGTTCCTACCTGCACTCACTCTTATCTGAGCTGCCTTATCTAAGAGTTATAAACATGAGATACTTACACAGTGTAAGTTGAATGCCCACGTCAAGGGGACTATAAGGTGCAGAAAGCAAGTTGGCCTTCAGCTTTGATTACTATGAGCCAGACTAAACCTACGGTTGACCAGTCCAAGAGGGACGACCTCAGTTCCTGATGCTGACTAAGCCTCATGAGACCTGATGTAATTTATCATGGCCATGTGGTGAAGGCAATAAAAGTTCTGAGCCCTAAGGCTCAGATGAAGCTTCCTGGTTGGTTAAGAGGGAATATCTGCTCTTGGGAGGGAAATGTGTTTCGTTGGGACATAAAAGTCCCACACTGGGACCTCTCTTGGACCTTGCCATAGGCAACTCTTTTTGTTACATTAAAGCTCTTATTACAGGCATGGTATTTCCTGTGAGCACTGTGAGTCATTCCAGTGAAATATAAGACCTAAAAGAGTAGTAGGGGCTGGCTGATCGGAAGTGGATGGGGGCATGTGGACTCCTAAGCTTGTGGGTAGTACAATGAGGGAGTATGAGAAAACCCCAAATTTGGGGCCAGCTAGTCTGAAGTGGTCCTGGTGTGGTGCTGTGGGTTAATGTGCTGGAAAGCAAAGTTATTTGAATTGCAAGGTCGGCGGTTCAAGCTCACCATTCACTCCTTGGAAACCCTATTCAGGATCGCTATGAGTCGGAATCGACTCAACGGCACTTAACAACAACAGTCTGAAGTGGAAGTCCTGGTTTGGTACTGTAGGTTAATGTACTGGACTGCAAGGTCCGTTTGAACCATAAGGTCAGTGGTTCAAGCTCACCAGTCACTCCTTGGAAACCCTACACAGGATCGCTATGAGTCAGACAGCACTTAAGAACAAAAACAACACCACAAAAGTACAATCAACAGAATTCAAGTCTGAAGTGGAGAGATTATGTGGACTCCTGAGCTTTGGACTGACCTAGAACTGGGTGAACCAGAATGAGAGAGTAAGGGCTTCATGGATGGCTGGGGTCTGACCTGAACAGAGAAGGAAAGCTGAGGTTTCCACAGGATATAGTTGTCATGTAAAGTGGTATTTGTTATTCATTACACAATTGGCACAGTTAGCGGCTAGAGCAACGCTGACTGACCAGGTCCTAACCAGGAACTCGTCCACTTCTATCCACATGTAACAATAAGACTCAAGAAAAGAACAGTTTGGAAAGGTCATGCTGCACAGCTGGGATTCCCAAGTGTTGACTGTGGCTTTCCCAGTACTACAGGGGACATGGTCTCTGAGGAGTGGGGATTCCCAAGAAGCTCTGCTTGTATTAAAAAAAACAGTGTGCATTGGCCGTGGAGTCGGTTCTGACTCATAGTGACCCTGCAAAGGGTTTCCGAGGCTGTAATTCTTTACAGGAGCTGAAAGATTCATCTGTCTCCCACAGAATGGCTGGTAGTTTCGAACTTCTGACCTTGAGGTTAGCAGCCCAACTTGTAACCACTACGCTGCCGGAGCTAGTGTGCATTAATGCTAGATAATTAACATTTACAGGTATCCAAAAAAATGTATTTTATATAAATCACTGGTGAAAAAGTTACATTAACTTTGATTTCAGTATTTCATAACGGTATCTTTTCAGTTAGTTAAAAATTCAAGACACTGAATACTATGTTCATACAAAAAAATCAAATCTAACCTTAGAAAAAAATGGAAATTAATAAAATGTGAAAATCCCTGGAACTGACTTGGAAACCTGAAGCATGTTTGGAAACCTGAGTAAAGCCCCACATTATAGTCCCTCCCTCTGCCCTGTCACATGACACTACTTGACTGAGGCACTCCCTCATCACATGACACTACTTGACCCAAGCACCGCTCCCCTCCATCACATTATACTGACTGCTCCAGTGCTGCCCATTCTCACCAGCAGGCAGGTCCCCATCCACTCAGACACCAGCACATCCACCTTCTCTGGAAGCACCACATCCTCCACCTTCTGCTGGAACACTGTGATGGTGTCAGCAAAGCCATTCTGCAGGACGAGCTGCCCCGTATGCTGTGCCATCTCACTGGCCTCCACAGCGTACACCTGGGGTCAGGACAGAAAGCTTTTGCTCAAGTGTACTGAAAAGGCTTCTGACTCCATACAGATAGTCAGCAACCTCGTCTTCTGGGTCTGAGCTAACTGAGACAGCTAGACTAAAATCAACAATAGAAAAACAGAGTGGGGGAAAGAGACAGGGTGGACAGTGACAGGAGGACAAGCCACCTGACTACTCTGGACACCTTGACAGTATCAGGGAAGGAATCCATTTCTGGATAGAGGAGATGCCTCTAATTCTTCCTTCACTTTAGGAAGCCTGCTGCTAAGGCTGGTGGCCAGATGTATGCAGACATAACCATGAACAATCTACAACTGATCCTGGAGACACGCGGTGCCAGACAGCACAGCCACAGTCTCCGTGCCCAGTGACTTTGTCAAGCAATTCCAAACACAGGTTCTCAGGGGACAGCCTCGTGGAGGTTCCCAAGGGCCAAGTTCTAGTTCTAGCAGAATCTAGATCAGGAAGGTCCTGTATTACAGGACCTTCACCCACTTGTGTTGGTTGTCACACGGCACAACTTAGCACCGCCAACAGACAAGTCTTAAGGGAAAAATGGTGTGGTTTATGAGGAGTCAGAATCTTTCATGTCCCAAGAGGTGGGCAGTGCTCTGGCCTGCTCTAATTCTGACCACAGGGTACACCATATCCCATGACGTCAATCCACAGACTGTGGCCCAGCACAGACATAGGACATGCGTCTCTACATCTAACTAAACCAACGTTTCACACAAATACAGCAGAGCATGCACTTCACTCTGGTATTTCCTATTTTTCCCTATTCCATCCATTTCATTTATAAACAAGTACTGTTTGTGCCCTGTTGCAGAAATATCACAGCCTTGCAGGGCTCTGCCTACAGCTGCGATGCGCTGCCCATTCCCCTGAACACAGTGCTGGCACACAAGGGTAACTGCAAAGACTGTCAGATGCACAGACGTTTCAAAAATGAGTTTCCCAGCAGGAAACTTTTTCATCAGGCCTGCCCAAGCACAAACAGACTAAAAGACCAGAGATTTCTACTCACAGCTCTGGGCTGAGCATGATGCGCACAGAAGAGGCTGATGATCCCAGTTCCACAGCCAACATCCAAGATTACTTTATCTTTCAGGGAATCTTTATTCTGCAGGATAACATTGTAGTATTTACTTGTTCGTGGCTGGTCTGCCAACATTTCCAAGTGAAGTTTCTAGAGGAAATATACATGTAGAATTACTGCCATTACCATAATATACAGAGTTCTGGTTTAAGATGGGGATTAGAGTCATAATGAGCTTAACCCTACCACCCCCATACCTAAAAATATAAAGAATAAATACATGACAACAGACAAAAGTAAAAGTGCCCTAACAAAGGAGTGAAACACAGTATCCAGCATCCTTCCAACTCAGCAAGGTTGTAGCGTTTTTGCATTATCTTTAGTAATACTTTACTTGCATGGGATTATCAATGATATTGTCCAATGATTTCCACATTCTGTTGGGTTACCTCTCTTTGGAATGGGCACAAATATAGATCTCTTCCAGTCAGCAGGCCAGGTAGTTGTCTTCTAAATTTCTTGGAATACATGAGTGAGTGCCTCCAGTGCCACATCACTTTGTTGAAAGACTTGAATTTGTATTCCACCATTGTCTTGTTCTTTGCCAATGACTTCAATGCACCTTGGACTTCTTCCTTCAGTATTATTGGCTCTTGATCACATGATACCTCTTGAAATGGTTGTCCATCATCCATTTCTTTTTGGTGCAGTGACTCTCTGTATTCCTTCCATATTCTTTTGAGCTTGGTACAGTTACTCTGTGTATTCCTTCCATCTTGTTTGGTGCTTTCTGAATCATTCACTATTTTGCCCATAGAATCCTTCAATACTGCAAGTTTAGGCTTGAATTTTTTTCTTCAGTTCCCCCAACTTGAAAAATGCTGAGCATGTTCTTCCCTTTTGGTTTCCTCACTTCAGGTCTTTGCACATTTTGTTATAATAGATGACTTTGTCTTCTTGAACTGACCTTTGAAATTTTCTGTTCAGTTTTTGTACCTCCATAAGCACTGCAGTAATAAATAATGGTTCAGAAACAGTAATGACCAGGAAAAAAAAAAACTGCTAAAAAAAAAAAGCAGTTCACATATCACAGAGAATGATGAGAAATAAGAAAAAGTGATTAAAACAATTATGGAGAAACCTCCTAACAGAGCTTTAACATCGGTCAAGGGCTGAAACATTGAAGACAGTGACAGGACTGGAAGGGAACCAGTGGTAGAACCAGCAGCTACAGTCCAGAAGGGGCTCAGTGGCAGAGTTAGTGGTGGTGACACACAGCAGAGTCAAGAGGAGCTTGTCCTAAGGGGACTGAGAGGAACCTGTTACCAGGTAGTCAAGAGGAGGCCTGTTCTCAGAGAACTGAGAGGAGGACCACACAGTTGAAAGCAGCTGAGAAAGCTGTCCTGCACTGAAAAAGGAAGACTTTGCCCACAGGCCTACTGATCCATATCCAGAGTTGTAACCTGCTGACCATGAACATCAGTTGTACCCTGTTTCCTAATGAGTTCTGTGTGGCCATAATAATGAATTACCCAACCCAGAAAATAAGTAGAATCTTATGGAAGGGTGGCTGGTATCAACTGGTAAAAAAGGTTGGAGAATGGGTGCATGTCTGACCTCCTCCTCCAGCCTTGAGCTGATCTTGATTTGCATTACTCCGCTTGAAGTTACACTAGGTATTATCATTTCATGAACAATACCATACAGAACAGGAAGGGGGAAATGGAAAAAAAGTATACCGCTATAAGGTTCCTATACTAGACTGAAGTGTTATAAAATAACCTGAAGATAAACTGTGATAAGTTAATCATGTATATGTTAAATTCTAAAGTAACTACCAACAAAGAGTTGCAGCTTATAAGCCAATAAAGAAGACAAAATTGCATTATAAAATGTAATTCCATTGCTGAGTCCTGGAGTGGTGCTGTAGGATAATGCGCTGGACTGCAAGGTCAATTTGAGCCATAGGTTTGGATGTTCAAACCCACCAGCCACTCCTCAGAAACCCTACACAGGATTGTTATGAGTTGGAACCAACTTGACGGCACTTAACAACAACAACATCTTGTATTGCAGTGAATTTACTTGATATGGTTCTTCTATCATAGTCTTTGTAACTGGGTGGGACCATGTATGGAAATCTAACATGGAGATTAGTCAGTTTAGCCATTTCACTGGATTTACTGTGAGCCATCTCAGAAGCAGGAACAAAGGCTCTCATGACCATCAAGAAAGAAGCGTCACAAATGGAACATGATATTTAGATCCTAAGATGCCTATGTGGAGAACCAGTGGTTTGTGAAGTGGTGGAGAAGCAGCAGAGGTGTTAACAGCAGAACCAGGAACACAGACACAGCAGAGTGGCAGGCTTCCTAGCCCATAGAACAAAAAAAGCTGAGGGCCTTTGAGCAGAAAGCTTGCTTGGAGAACAGAGCGCCCTTTGGGCATTTATTGACAACACTACAGCAACTCTGTAACACTTGTCCAAGTAGGGCTAACACAAGGCTGTAGCTGAGAGGCCAATGACCGGAGAGAGGTGTGCCTGCAGGCACAGATAAGAAGACGCACTCCTGACCTGAAAGACTGTATTCTGATCTTGAATTGTACCCTGTTAACTTCCCTAATAAACCCCATAATTACAAATACTGTCTGTGAGTTCTATGTGGCCACTGCAATGGAATATTAACCTAACACATAAGTAAAAAGTGCTTTGGAAGGGACAGTTGGTGTCAGAATTTGTAAAGGAGGAAAGAGGGCCTATCTGACCTCAGCCACATAGCAATCTGCTGAGGGTATTGATTCTCCTCCTCCTTCCTGGTGAAGTCAGAGGAGGTCAGACACCACATCCATATCATTTTTTCAAAATCTAAAAATAGAAAGAAAGTTAAGAAAAAAGGGAACAAAGAATAGATGGGACAAAGAGAAGAAAATAATAGATGGTATAACTTCAACCATGCAAACAACCACATTAAATGTAAATGATTTAAACATTCCAATTAAAACACAGAATGGCTAGATGGGATAAAAACGCAAGATCCAATTATCCTGGCTACAAGAAATCTATTTTAAATATAAAGACACATGTAAGTTAAAAGCAAAAGAATGGGAAAAGACAAACCATGCTAATGCCAATAAAAAGAGAACTGATATAGTATGGGGTGCACTTTGGACATTTATCAACAGTACTAAAGGAGCTTTGTAACACTTGTGCAAGCAGGGCAAAGGTCAATTATTAATAACAGGCAAAGTACATTTCAGAGCAAATAATATTTCAGGGGATGACGACAGTCATTTCATAATGATACAGGAATCAATATATCAAAAGCATATAATTCTGTTGGGGAGGGCAATACACAAGAAGCGGGAGGGGGATGGAAGAACAAGATAGATATGGGAACCCGGAGGCAGGTTTGCATGGGCTAAATGGGACAGAGGTAAATAGTGATGTATGCTCAACCTTGGAATAACAGGATTCTGTGATACAGGGATTGAGGCATAGACTGAATGGGTAAAG